CGGGGGCAGGTGTGGGGTGGGGGGGCAGGTGTGGGGTGCGGGGGCAGGTGTGGTGGAATCGGGGGCAGGTGTGGGGTGGGGGCAGGTCTGGGGTCGGGGCAGGTGTGGTGGGATTAGGAGCAGATGTGGGGTGGGGGGCAGGCATGGGGGTCAGAGCAGGCGCAGCGGGGCGGGGTCACAGGTGGGGAGGCACACCCAGGCAGCAAGTTGAAGCCGGTGTGTGAAGGAGGAGAGGCCCAGAGAAGAAGGCCTGGAGGCTACCATGGGTCACCTCTCTCCCGGTCCCCTCCCTTCCTGCTCCCTCCAGACAGAGGTTACCTCAGGGTCTTCCCAGCCTCCTCCGGTGGGGAGAAGTGAATCCAGAAGCTCTGCTCGGAGCCCAGGCTGCAGAGAGAGGGATGCGGGGAAGCCTGGGGAGCAGCCAGGCCCACCTAGGGGGTCAGGGGGTGCAGGAGGGGAGGGGCTGGGTCTGCAGGGGCCAGGGAGGGTGGAAGCCAGGGAAGGAGACCCTTGCTGACCAGCGGAGACCTCCAATCCATTCTGTGAGGACAATAAGAGCAGGCCTTCCCTGGTGCCCATGGCACACAGGCCTCAGGGATGGAAACTCTGACGCCATGTCAGCGAGCTGTGAGACTCAGACACACAGATGGAGGGCCACTAAGGGCGGGGGTCTTGATCCCTCCCCATCAGCAAGTGGTGCCCACATCCCCTTACTTCACCGAGGCCTCCCGGATGCGTGGGCAGGAGGGGAGCGTCTCCACCAGGCACAGGGCACTTTCCTGAGAGAGTCTGTTGTGACTGAGACTAGAGGAGAAACGAGGTTCAGGGTGGGGGTGAGGGGCAGCACCGCACTGGAGCCCTGCCCAGCGCCCCGTGTCTCTTCCCCGCCCGCTGGCATGTCTGGGAGGAGCGTCCTCAGTGTCCATTCTCCAGGTGGAGACACTGAGGTCCAGAGAAAGGCCAGAGGGGCACTATCCCCACGCAGGCAGGACAGGCACCAGGCTCTGAGTCCTCAAGGGCTGCACCCCCTGTGCCCACTGCCCTTGTGGTCTGGGACAGGGCATTGTTGAGGCCAGGTTGGCAACTCCAGCCCCATGGGGGCCAGGGATGCCCAGGGCACAAAGCTCAGTTGCCTAGCAATGGGTTGTACCCTGGCTCTGGCCACCAGTCTCCCAGGTCAGTGGGGAGGTTGAGAGAGAGTGCGGATGACTTGCTAGGGACCCTCTCTGCTGTGGGGACATCTCCTGATCTGTGTCCTGTGGATTTGGTCAGAGGAGCTTCAGGGACGGGATGGACCGGGACAGGGCAGCTGAGATCCGGCATCAGCTGGTTAGGGATGAAGCTGGTCACTTCTCTGTCCCAGAGTCACCTGGGGCCACCAAGCTTTAGTCACAGCCTCTCCCAGGTGCCTGGTCGGGGGGGGGGCTCTGCCCAAGGTGGGCAGTGAGGGAAGGACCTGAGACGGGGGAGTGTTGAGGTGAGAATGGGCCCTTTCCCCTCTCCAGGCCGTGTCCTCTGGAGTTCGCTAGGGAGCCCTACAAGAAGCCCATTAACCCCCTGGCCCAGAGGAGTCCTCCTCCTTGTGGTCCTTGAGGCTGCTCGTCACTTACTCAAGCGAACCGGAGATGGGCACCCGAGGCAGATGCTCCAGGAGGCACTGGAGCCCGGCATCACCCAGCTGGTTTGCTGAGAGGCTGCGAGAGGTCAGAGGAGGTTGGCGGCGGTCAGATGCGCCCCCTCACCCGGGGCCTTCTCTTCAGTTACCACCGCTGGTACTCTACCCACACAGCACTGTTGTCAGCACCTTCGCCATCACCTCCACCCCTCTGCACTACAGCCCCAACATCGGCACCATCCCATCATTCTACCAACATCACCACCTCCATCAGCACTAGAATGAGCACCGGCGGCCCCAGCACCGCACGGCAGCTCCCCGGGCCCACATCATCCCCCCACCAGCACCACAGTTAACCAGGCCTCATCTTCCCCTTCAGTATCTGCTGACTACTCCCCGGGGTCGTGTGCTTTCAGGAGTTAGAGAAAAAAGGATTAGCTGTTACGATGCCCTTGGCCCGCATCAGTTGGGAGCTGTAATTTCTGAACAAGAGTAAATTCAGGAAAAAGAAAGCTGCTTGGAGGCTGCGTTTACCCAGCAGATGTCTTCTTTTAATTTGGGGATGCAGCATGGGCAGCTGCTCCTGCAGACTTTATTTCCTTCATTGTGGCATTTTATGGATTTAGCTACAGTTTCAGAAACAATATAATCGGCAGGCCCTGGAATATCTGATTTTTGTCCTGCATCTTAGAACTTATTTTGTTCCCCATTATGACACTTCTGAGGCTTGTTTATTTTGTCTTTTCCTGAGAAACTTTAAAAATTAGTCTGTCCCGTGAAGCCACTAGTAATCTTTAAAACAAGAAAAATTTCCATCTATAATGAAAAAACAGAAAAATTCAAAGACATATTGCTTATTCGTCGGTCTTTAAAATACATGATTTTCATCAGCCACGTTTCTCTTGTTGGCCACATCACAACAGGAATTTAAATTGTGGGGTTTTTACAGCTCTCTTTATATCCTACTGGTCCTAAGCTGGAGTCCTAACAGTTGTGGGCAAAGACTCTGCATTGTATGAGCTGTGTGACCCAGGGCAAGTTCTTGGACTCTCTGTGCCTCAGATCTCTCATCTATAAAATGAGGATAATAGTACCCAGTGTTGTTGAGGGGATAAAAAGAAGATGTTAAGCACTTAGAACAGGGATAATAGCTCAATAGGTGTTAGCTATCATTATTTTATTATTATTATTTTTTAAAGATTTTATTTTTTTCCTTTTTCTCCACAAAGCCCCCTGGTACATAGTTGTCTATTCTTCGTTGTGGGTCCTTCTAGTTGTGGCATGTGGGATGCTGCCTCAGCGTGGCTTGATGAGCAGTGCCATGTCCGCGCCCAGGATTCGAACCAACGAAACACTGGGCCGCCTGCAGTGGAGCGCGCGAACTTAACCACTCAGCCACGGGGCCAGCCCCTAGCTATCATTATTTTTATTCTACCCATGCGGGGGCTGCACTATCTGGGCACCCAAGGTAAGCCACACAGATGCCACTTCTCAACAACACGAGAGCCCAGAAGTCCCCACCCCAGCTGGCTCGGGGACCCTTCTCAGGCTGAGGCATCTGTGACTTAACCATCTGCCAGGCAAACCAGTGGATCCTTGATTTTAGTCCCCATCAGCCAGCAGAGCTCCCCTGCCGTGGTCAGCACGAGGCCAAGGGGCTCCTGAGGCCCTTTCTGGAGGGCTCCCCAAATTAGATCAAGGCACCCCCTGAATGAGCTCTCCCATGGCGGGAGTAGGGCGTAGGAAGGATAAATGGGAACAGGAAACCTCACCTATGTGACCCAGAGTCCTGGGCAGCCCCTGTGAGCCGGTCCTGTGAGGTGGTGAGTGCAGCACACATACAGACACTCACACACACAGACACTCACACACACAGACAGACACTCACACGCACACACACTCACACGCACACACACTCACACACACCCCACTCCAGTGCCACCCAGGCCCATGCGCCTGTGGTCCTCTCCCTCCACTTCCTCCCCCAACTTACTCCAGCTGGCTCAGGTCTTCACACCGGCTCAGCGACCAGCACAGGGGCTCCACGTGCTGCCGGCAGAGGCCACAGCCCGTGAACCTGCTGGAGGAGGGGCAACAAGCCGGGGATGAGCCCTTGAGCCACTCAGACCCGCTCTGCCCCGGCTGGTCTTGGGTGTGGCCTCCGAGCTCCCGTAGGGCCTCACCCAAGCTTGGATTTTCTAGAAATACCCAGCATCCACCACTCCCCGCCTCGGCCCACAGTGGATCCCACCTGGCACCCACATTCTCTCTCTGAGGAGGTGGTTCTCAAACTGCGGTCCCCGACCAGCCACACCAGCATCCCTTGGGAACGTGGTGAGATGCAAATTCTGGGAACCCAGCCCTGACCCCCTGAGTCAGCAACTCTGGGGGCAAGTGTCTCTGGGTGACTCTGATTCAAGCTCAAGGTGGAGCCCTACAGCTAGCTCTTGGGGTCACTTTAACGGCAGACATGGAGGGTGGGGTCGGGGAGGACAACGACAATGTCTGCTCTTGCACAGGGTTAGTGATGCTGGAATTAAACGTAATAGTCAGTCTGTCTTGGAAAGGCCGAAATTAAGACTACGCAATAAGGTAAATGAAGGGCCTATGACCAGCAGCAGCTAAAAAAAAAAAAAAAAAAAAGAATCTTAAAATCAGATAGTACCTAAAATCAATATCTCAAATGTTTTTTTTTAACTTTTTAATTTTTTTCCTTTTTCTCCCCAAAGCCTCCCGGTACATAGTTGTGTATTCTTAGTTGTGCGTCCTTCTAGTTGTGGCATGTGGGATGCCGCCTCAGTGTGGCTTGATGAGCAGTGCCATGTCTGCGCCCAGGATTCGAACCAACGAAACCCTGGGCCGCCTGCAGCAGAGTGCGCAAACTTAACCACTAGGTCACGGGGCCAGCCCCAATGTCTCAAATTTTGATTGCTGTTCCTCTCCTTTATGATTTTTCCATGTTCTTAAATTCCCAATTATACGATTATTTACTCCCTATTTTAACTCAGCTCATTCATTTTATTTGATGCAATTATTGTAAACGGAAACTCTGTATTACTCAAATGGAAAACTGGCAACACTTGCCACAAACAGACCATAAACATAAGAATACTCGAAATGAGAGCAAAACATCACCGTTACATTTGAACCAGATATTGACACCTGCTGAGGGCTCTCTCTGTATTACAAAGGGAGCTTGGTGGATGGTGGAGAGGTGTTAAAAGGGTGTTAATGCCTAGCTGAGCCTTCCTCCTCCTCAGACAGAGAATTGAAAAGGAATAATGACCCCACCAAGGGATTCAGTGAGCTCGAAGCCGAAACTATCTGCCCAGCCTCCTGAAACCCATCCCACGCTGGTCCACGCCCCGCAGTTTGGAACCCGCTGACTTAGAAACTACCCCGGCATTCTAGGAGCCGGGCTCGTGGGGGCCCAGGACAGAAGTCAGAGAGCCACAGCTCACGGCTGCCTGCTTTTGCACGGTTTGCGAGCTAAGAATGATTTTTCCATTTTCAAACGGTTGAGGAAAAAAATCAAAAATAGAATAATATTTCATGACGCATAAACAATATTTGAACTTCAAGTCTCAGGGGTCCACAGTTTTCCTGGCACGCAGGCACACGCCTGGGTTATGTATTGTCTGTGCTGCTTTGGGGCCACAAAGGCAAGGTTGAAGAGCTGCGACAGAGACCGGATAGGCTGCAAAACCCAAAGTATTTACAATCTAACCCTTTACAGAAAAAGTTTGTCCGCCCCGGGCTAGAAGCACCCTCGGACTGCCCGGGTTCGAGTCCCGGCTGCCCCCTTACTGCTATGTGACCACCACTGAGGCTTGTGGGGGGAATAAGCACAAGGCCCTTAGAGTGGCGCCTTGAAGATGTTCAGCAAATATCAGCTATTCTATTTATTGTTATTTCACAGCTGAGGAGGCTGAGGCCCAGAGAAGGGTCTGGTCCGAGGTCTCTTGGTGAGCCAGTGCATCAAATAGTTACCAGAAAGGTCGTCTCTGCATCCAGAGGTTGCCCTCCTGCCTGTTCTCCTGCCTCCGGCGCAGTATCTCCTCCCTCCCATCTGGGCAACCAGAGCACTGGTCCAGGAGTCAGCAGGGGAGGGACAGCTGCATCAGTGAATGCCCGATGCTTTACATACGGTCTCATTTAATCCTTGCAAACGCCCTGCAATGTGGTGTCTCCCTCTACAGCTGCGAAAGCGGAGGATAGGGCACCAGGTTCTTGCAAAGCTGGGATCTAAAGCCTTGTGGGCAGGTCGTGAAGGCCTTGTCCTCAGACCAGGCCCCTGAGTTCTGGTCTAGTCTGATGTGTACTCCTCACTTACCCTTGACAAAGCCAGGCCCTCTCTGACCTCTGCCTCCTCATGTTGGAGGAAACAAGCCTCCTGTGGGGTCCCTGCAGGGGAATGCTCTGCGCAGGCAGTCTAAGCTGCTCGGGCCATCCAGGAGCCTGGTCTATGGGCCCCCAATACCCCCTGGCTGCCAGGGCCTGGTTCCGGGGGACTTACCCACAGCATCCGCCCTCCTGCTCCTCGCTAGACCTGAAGTGCAGGGTCGTGTGACACAGGGACCTGGAGCAGACATCACCTGGGTCAGCACCCTTGGCTGCAGCCTCAGGATGCCCCCAGGGCGCAGGCACCCCTCTTCCAGAAGCCAAGCCTCTGACTTGGATACTACTGCCTCCACCCCACCCCCTCACACCCACAACCCTCCAAGACCAGGCCTGGTTGTCCCAGGGCAATGCTCACTGGAGATCCACCTTCTGAACCCGTGGGCATAGGCTGAAGACGTCTGCCAGTATGAGGGGGCTCCTTGGGGACAGTGCTGTCTGGCTCAGCCTGACAAAGAAAGGAGCGGGGCCCTATGTCAGCAAGTGAGAGCCAAGCGAGATGAGCAGGCAAGGAACCAGGACAGACTGGAGAAGGAACAGCGGAACAGGAGGCTGTGGGAGGCTGGGGCCAGCAAGGCCATAAGGAAGAAGTCAGGGGCTCAAGAGGGACAAACAGGGCCTTGGGGTCAAGCAGACTTGGGTTTGAGCCCTAGTTCTGCTCACTGGCTGCGTGTCCTTGGACAAGTCACTTAACCTCTCTGAGCCTCAGTTCCCTTATCTGGAAAACAGGACTACTCGTGGTGTACCTTCCTCTAGGGTGAGGGTTGAACCCTATCAAGCTTTTGCACTGCCTAGCGCGATACCCATGCTTGTTGTTATGGTAACTATGGTTTCTGCCCTCAGGCAGGGACTTAACAGGCCAGTCCCTTTGTCTCCCGCTCTAGCAGGAGCAGGAGGCTTCAGGCTCTCAGAGCAGTGTCTCAGGCTCAGCGCTATGGAGACCGGGGCTGGACAGGTCGCTGTGTTGGCGGCTGTCCTGTTGGAAGTTCAGCCGCATCTCAGACCTCTACTCATTAAACGCCATTAGCAGCACTACTGCTCCCCGTCCCACACCCGCTTCTGTCAGGACAACCCACAATGTCTCCACTGCCAGACGCCCCGGGGGGCAAAATCCCACGGCGGTCAACTACTGCCTTAGAGAAAGGGGGATGGGGCATCCGTGGCATCTCCCTCACCCCATAAACCTGCCGTCAGCTTGTCTTGTCAGTTCCACTCCCAAGAGCCACCCTGAATCCACCCACTTCCGCCCCACGCCCACGGCTTCCCAGCCCCTCATCTCTTCCCTGCCTGCACAGCCTCCTCCCTGCTCTCCTTCCACTTTTGTCCCCCAATCCTTCTCTACCCAGCAGCCACACTGAGCTTTTGAGAACACAAATTGTTTCTCTGCCTCTCAAGTTCCCTTGGATGAAATCCCAAGCTCCTCCTCATGGCTACCAGGCCCTGTGTGACCCGCCCCGGGTCCCTGTCTCCTCCTCTCCCTGTCAGCCACTATGCTCTGGCCACATTGGCCTTCTGGCTGTTCCTTAAGCCCACCAAACTCAGTCATGCCTCAGGGCCTCACATACGCCATTCCCTCTGCTTGGAATGCTGTTCCCTGCTCTCCACAAGGCTGGGTCCCTTTCTTCCTGCACGTTGCACCCCAGTGTCCCTCCTCAGAGGTGCTCCCTGACCACCCCCCCCATTGTCTGAATCACCTCCCCAGTCACTCTTTACCACATCACCTGGAAAAAGACCTTATTCCTACCTGAATTCATCTTTTTTGCTTTCACTTTGCTTCTTGTTCAGCTCCTTCCACAAGGTAAACGCCAACAAGACAAGGACCTAGTTGGTTTTTTTTAAATTTCTTTTTCCTCTCTGCTGTGTCTCCAGCACCTTGCACAGTGCCTGGCCCACCACAGTGCACAGCACTAGGGCCTGATTAATATCAAGTGTAAGCCCTAGGGACGGTCAGGCTGGCCGCCTCATTCCAGACACAGATGAGGAATTGAGGGCTGGTGCTGTGTGACTCCAGCATAGAGAAGTCCCTCTCTGGTCTAAGTTTCCCACTTGTTCATTTTAACTCGGCACCTTCTATGTCCAAAGGACCCCTTTCAGACCCATTCTCTCCTGGTGGTGTGGGTCCATGGTGGGTGCTGTGGGTGGGCCTGTGCTCTCCTGCACTTGCCCACCTCTAGGACGTCACACATCGCCTCCCACCCTCCCGGATAGGATACAGGGATGGGCGAGCCCCGGATGCGATGGGAGCCGTCTCAGGCAACCCCGAGCCTCAGGACCTACGGTGCCGTTATTAAAGGGGCGGTTCAATTTCCTGTCATATTTTCCCATCCCAGCTGCCTCTGCTTTAGCCCCCGCTGGAAGAACATTTCCAGTAAATCCTTTTTAAATTCTAACCAGTCGGAGCTGAAATTAGAAAATAAGAGTTTTAAATACTTTGGGGATGCTGCTTAAATTCCCCTTCTGCGGAGTTAGATGGTGACCTTTAAAAGATGGTGAGTGACATGTACACGACCTACATCTGTGAAGTCCCCTTCTAGGAGCAGGTGACCTTTCTCTGGGCGGGGAGAAGCATGACAGCCCATTTGTCACAGGCCCTCACTTCTTCAAGGTGGTTTTAGAACAACTGTCTTGCCAAGTCTCAACCCTGGGGGAGGAGTTGGGGAAATTAATTCCATTTGTCAGAGGAGGAAACTGAGGCCCAGAGAGATCAAACAACCCCCCACCCCAAGGTTGATATGGTATCAGGGAAGCGCTGGAAACAGACTTGAGCTCCCAGTTGCGCCAGATAGAATGACCAGCGAGCTCTAGAGAAGGGGGCGGGGCGGAAGGGGACAGCTTGGCCCAGCACGGGGCCATGGGGAGACCAGCCTTACCGAAGCCGGCTGAGCTGGGGCAGCCGGGGCAAGCGGTGCAGCAGGGTCTCCAGGCTCTGGTCGCTCAGGCCCTTGCAGGACAATCTGCAAAACAAAGCATCTGAATGAGGTGTGGAAGCCTTGAGAGCTAGGAGGGCGGCCTCACGGCCAGAGTCTTCTAGAGACGTGTCCTAAGCCAGGGTTGCCCAAAACATTCCCTCTGAGAGCTGGGTCCTTGAGTCGTCAGTGAGGCGGGAGGAAGAGGAAGGTCACAGAAGCTCGGAGCATGCTGGGCTAAGCCAAATTAGTTGTCTCTGTGCAGGACTTCTCAGAGCCTTTAATATGCCGCTGTGCCTTGTGAATTTCCAAGGGGCTCTTGTAGACTTTTTTCCCCAAATGTCATGGACTGGCAGGATTATTATTTTAAGGGCCATGAAGATTGGCGCTCTGCAAACATACTTGTTAAGAAAAGGATGCCGCTGAACCCGCAGTCTTGAATATAGTGGTGGAGACAGAGGCAGCAGGTCAGCCAAGGAGAGACACAGGCGAGCTCGGGTCTCTGACTGCCTGTCAAAACCAGACTAACCAGCTGATCACTTGTCCAGATAACTCATCAGAACCCAGTCCACCTAGGAGACACTCCAGGCAGCCCTCCTTCTGTGTCTGCTCTGGCTGCAGGACGAGACCAACAGCGTCTCTAACTGCCCTGGGATTTACATGACCTCCCCCTGGAGTCCCACTTTCCCCAGAGGTGTTGGGCTGTGTTTTCTTTCTGCCCCTTTTTCCCTCTGTCCCTGTTCCTTCGTCCCCTGCAGGCTGTCCTTTCCCCTCACTGGGGCCTCCACGAGCCCGACCCCCCTCCTGTGCATTGTTCCCTGGTTGGGGGGACCACCGTGGAGGGGCAGCCTGAGGTTCTGGAGCTGGAAGCCTCGCCGCTGAACCACCGCCAGGGCGCAGGCTGCAGACTCGGCTCCACCTGCTCCGGCTCAGGCATGGGCCTGGGGCTCTGAGCACAGATGGAGCAGCGGCCTTCGCTGAGGGGCAGTCCGTCCACACACCTCCCTGCACGGTTTCCCACTGGACCCCAACTACACAGTGCTGTGACCTCTGGTTGGGTCAATGTGGGGCTTACACACTTTTCTTTTAAGCAACAGAACCTTTACCCACCTCACCATCCCACGTGGAACACCGAAATGTACACAGGCCAAGTGGGCCTGCGGCGGTGGAATCTGGGGAGGGGGCTGGAGCCCTGCCACCTTCGCTGGCCTACCCCGCAGAACCCCAGGACCCAGAATCCCAAGGATAACAATCTTCCTGCACGTGGTCCCTGCACTCTACAGTTGGCAAAGTGTCTTCACACTTATGATCCCATTTCCTCCAACTGCAGCGGAGGGAGGGGGCCCTTAGACCCCCATCAGTGCTCGGACCACCCAGCACGGCCCGCGGGTGGTTTACATAAAGCCTCTCACTGCAGCCGGCGAGCCTCAGCAAGTCCCGGGTGTCCTTCTGTCCCCGTCCCCAGGACCTGGTATACAGTAGGTGCTTAATAGTTAAATAATGGAAGAGCTTTTTGCAGCATTGGCTGCAGTGCTACAGAAAACCCTGGGAGCAGCCTGCTATCCATCTAGACTTTAGGTGGGCGGGGTTTAACAACTTGTGGCACATCCAAACCACGGAGGGTTAGCATGAAAAGGCAGGAATGCGCAAACATTGCGCAAGAAACACATCAGCGACAATCCAGGACAACTGCACATCCAATGGGATACTTGATGATTTTAACATATCATAAAATAATGTTCATATTTTAGGTCTGATAATGGTTTTGTGGTTATGTTAAAAAATAAAAGAGTACTTATCTTTTAGCTGTGCATACTGAAATATCCATAGATGAAATTATACAGTGTCTGGGAATTCCTTCAAAATAATGTGCGTGTGTGTGTGTGTGTGTGTGCGTGTGTGCGCGTGTTGGGGCCATGAGGTGACGCCTATTGAGGTGGGGCCAGGGGAACTCAGAGTCCACGACACTATTCTCTCTGCTTTTATATATGCTTGGAAGTCTCCGTCTGAAAGCGTTTTGAAATTAAAAAGTAACTTTACAGTGGGGAAGTCGGACGAACACTTCCTCGGCCAGGTGATCAAGGTCAACGTCAACAGTGATGTTGCGTCCACTGCATGGACCCCTGAGATGAGATGCGTGGGGCTCTTGACCTCTGTGGTGTCTTTCCCCAAACCCATCACCCAGGTTGACCACGAGGAAAACATCAGACAAACCCAAAGTGAGGGACGTTTTACAAAATATCTGTCCGGTACTCCTCAAAACTGTCAAGGTCACGAGCAACAAAGATGGAGAAAGTGCCACAGACCAGAGGAGGCTAAGGGACCTGAAGACTGAACGCAATGTGCGGTCCTGGATGGGATTCCAGACCAGAGAAAGGGCTTTAGGAGAAAAACTGGTGAAATCTGAATAGAGCCTGCAGCGCAGTTAATAGTCACGGGGCAAGGTCGGTTTCTTACTTGTGACAAATGTACCACGATAGTAAGTGATACTAACAACCAGGGCAACCAGGAGAGGGAACTTTCTGGACTGGCTTTGCAACTTTTGTGTAAGTCCAGTCTGAAACTAACCCAATGTAAATGGTTTATTAAAAAAATTCATTGGCTCCACCTGTCTTGATATTCCGGGAAAGCTGCGAGGCACTGCCGGCAGTCAAAAGCTCGCCGCGCAGCTCTCAGGTGGTAAGATGCTGTCTGCGAACAGCGTCAAAACCCCGCCCTCCGCATCCACAGGTGTTTGAACTGAGAGAGGCAGGGCGGACACACGCCAGGCGATCAACCTGCATAAGCCTGTTGCGAGGGCCAGGGGGGATTTGAGACGGGAGCCGGAAAGCAAGAAAAAGACGCAGCCAGTGGGGAAACACATAGGGCATGATGTGAAGTGAAATCGTGGACTGCAGCCCGGCTGTGCCTGCGAAGAGGCAAGAACGGAATCTCCAAACGGACAGGGAGCAGAGGGCCACGAGGCCGGACGACAGCACTGGTTGGATGAGGCGAAGGGGCTGTTTCGGGGAGGCGGGTTTGTCTTGGGTTTCTTCATTTTAAGGTAATTACTGTCATACGACGATGATGAAAGGAAAGGCTGACTGTCCACTTTGCAGATGACAAAGCTGAGGCCCAGTGAATTACAGCCATTTGCCCAAGTCACCCAGCCTGCAGGTGGCTGAGCCAGGACTCCTGGTTCAAGTCCAGGGTGGTCACTGACCCAGGTGTCCCGGGTGGGTGAGCTGGTACCTGGAGCGGGGGCTGGCCTGAGGAGGGGCCTTCAGAAGTGTTAGGCTCCAGCCACGGAGGCAGACCCCAGGGGGTGCCAGGGTGCGGCTCCCGGATGGAGGGGGCAGACCGGGGCCCCAGGCACCCTGAGTGGAACGGATGAGGACGGTGAAGACCTGGGCCCTCACAGCTGCTCTCAGTGGGAGGAGGGAGGCGCCTGAAGCTGAGGCAATTCCAGGCAACCAGCCTTCTACCAATAGGTCAGGGAACTCCCATAGGGTAGGGCTACGGGGTCTGGCGGGAAGGGACCAGGAAGGACACCCCCAGCCCAGGTCACTGGGCGGCTGCCCACATTGTGCACTCCGGGGCCGTGTCCCCGTTACTTACGTGACTTCCAGAGGCCCCGGGCACTTCTCTAGAGTGTCACAGAGGCGGGTGAGGCTCAGGGGCTCCAGCTGACACTCACTGAGGCTGAAAAGGGACAGTGGGCGAGGCGGGGTTCAGCAAACGCTCAGGGCCCCTGTACAGACCCTGGGGCTCGCCCCTTCTAACAGCCTGCTCCCCCACGGGGCATCCTCTCACCCCAAGACTTCCCTACAGCCCCTATTCCTACCGCTCTGACGGTGACAACAAAGGCCCCCTCAGGGCCCAGCCAACCTTGTCCAGCCCCTAAGTGCTCCGCACTGCCCCTGCCTGAGTCTGGGCCCATCGCCACTCGCCTGGACCACTGTAGCGCCCTCTGGGGTTCCCCTCTCCATCCTGCAATCCTTCTCCACGCTGCCGGGTCTTATCTGTTTACCTGCAAATCTGACCAGCCCTCTCCTGTGCTGAGAACCCTCTGTGGCTCCCCATTATCCTTAGGCCTTCCAGAGCCTCACTCGCCTCCTCTCTGTGTATGCGCTCCGGCCACACTAAAATGCAGCCGGGAGCCAAGCTTTGCCCCTTGGCCCCCCTCAACTGTCGCAACTCTGTTCAGGCCCCAGCTTAGGTGTTTCTCTTCTTAAGGGAGGAAACCGAGGCCTAGAGACAAGGGGAGCCCAGCTGGGGTCTCACAGCCCCTCAGGGCAGAGCTGGGAAGTCTTCAGAGAAAACAACATGGAGTCTCTCCTCTAAGGAGAATGCTGGGCCCCTGTCACCAGCCCTCACACTTGTCCCTCTTTCCTTTCCCTTCTCTCAAATTCTTTCCCTCTGTCCCAATCCCCAGCCCTAATCCCCAGGCTCTCCTTACTCCCTGACCCCTCACCCCCACTGTGGTTACCCCCAACCAAGAAGTGGGTGAGACAATACCAGAAGCTCCTGGGGACGCAGCGCTGACCGGAGCCCAAGAACTCGGCTCCAGCTGGCAACTCCGGCACAGATCCGGCAGCCGACAGGTCCCTGGAGTGGGGAAACCATTTGACAGGAAGGGTCAAATCCTCCCCGTGGAAGACGACTCATTCGTGAGGGCTGGAAGGGGCCCTGGGGACAATCAAGTCCCTCACTGTACAGATGGGGAAACCGAGGCCCAGGGAAGGGGGGCCAGAGCGAGAACGCCAGCAGTTTATACCTGTCCCAGTGGCCAGCACCTGACCGGGTCAGGGGGAGCCAGGACAGAGCCCTTCCTCTCCCTGACCGCCTCCCTGGGCCTCCAGTCTTTTGGCTTCAAGAACCCAGAAGCAGAGACCCCAGCCTGGGAAGCAAGACCACGCTGGGCGTGGGCCGCCCCTGGCTTCACACAGCCCAGCTGGTGTGGCAACGCTTTCCCCAACACGTTAGCTGGGGACCGCTCTGCCCGGCTGGCTGCACACGAGGCCGCCCTTGTGCTTGCCAAGCTCCCAGGGGAGACCAGGGGGCCGGGCCTGCTAGAGGGCAGCGGGGCACGCCTGCGGAAAGTAACTATTGTTCATTGTTTACTGCAAAGATGGGGAAACTTTCAGAGCCCCAATGGTTTCTGGCTTCTCAAATGTGACACTCAAAATGTGTGTGAAACAGCGATGACTCATGTGAACTCACAAGTCTGCAAAAGTCCCCGAGAGGCAGAAACTCAACTGCTCCCCTCTCCCTCCCACGCGGCGGCAGCCTGCTGGCACCTGTCCTGCTGTGGCATCACCTCTGGGCCCCTCCCACCTGCACCGCCTTTTACCAAAGGAGATGGCAGGCAGCTGAGGACTGCACGTTTATGCGGTGGGTTACAGAAGTGGTGGTTAATTCCAATGTGCCAGGCCTGGGCGGGTCATTCTAGGGCTGACAGTGGTCAGCAGGGGCCTGGGGGGCAGGGGCACCTGTAGGAAGTGGGGACCCCGCCCCACCCTGGGAGCTGTTCCTTCTCACCTGCCTCTTCCGGCTCCTCCCAGGACGATGCGTTGGCTCTCACCCCTGCAGGCAGAGAGGAGGCAGCAGAGTGAGAAAGGATGAAGGCAAGACAGCAAGAGAGCAGCCCGGCCAGTCAGGGAGGCCTGCAGGCGCCCGCTCTCTCAGCAGATGGGACAATAAATATATGAAGCAACAACTACGTATACTAAGGCACCTACAAAGCACACCGCAGACGCGATCTCCTTTGATTCTCACAATAAAGCTGTGAGGGAAGGAAATGTTCTTATCCCCATTTTACAGATGAGAAAATTGAGGTCTGGAGAGGCTCAGGGACCTGCTCAAAGCTGCACGGCAGCTACGTGGGTGGCCTGGACTGAACCGGGTCTGTCTGCTGTCGCACCTCCCGCTCTTGGCAGGGGAAGGAGAGGAAAGGGCAGGCCTCGCCTGAAGCCGGACACGATCTGCAGGGCACGGCCCGGGGCTGGGGGGCTGGGCGCCTTCCCCTCTTTGTTCTCATCAGCTCCAGAGACCCCGCAGTGAAGGCTGGTCCCTGAGCACTCAGTGACCACCAGGGAGCTCCCCGATTTCTTCAAAGCTCCCCAGGACAATCCAGAGAGTGAGTAAGGGAGAGCCGATGGACTGTGTCCCATGGTGAATTTGGAGAAATGCGAGTGTCCTTGGGGCTATATTCATTCATTTGTCTGTTCATTCATTCGTTCAGCAGACACCCACCACGTGCTCACGAGACCCCATATCACACAAGGCTCTGAGGATGCTACAAGGTGAATGCGGCAGACGAGGGCACTCACGTGATGTCCAGGTGGAGAACCCACTGCACAGTAGAGAAGCACAGGGCCAAGCTGAACCCAGCGTCCGGGGATAAGCCGTTCTCACTGAGGCTGGAGAACCACAGGAGTGACGCTGACGGAGGTCACCAAGACTCAAAAACACCCTCTTGGTGGTCAGAGCACAGGGCAGGGGAGGGCCGTCCCTGAGTCCAGATGATGGGCCTCAGGTGGTCAGAGTGTCTCTTCTAACCCCTCACGGTAAAGACAAGGAAATTGAGGCCCAGAGAGCGGCAGGGTCTTGCCCAAGGTTACGAGATGCTGGGGACAGAGCTGAGACCAGAACTCAGTGGTTCCCTCCCAGAGCGAATCTGGGGAGTGCTTTGGGGCCACGGTTGTGCCTCAGTTTCCCCTCAATAAAGGAGAGGTGGTACCCAGTGAAAAATGAAAATACAGGGCCTCTTGTTCAAAAAGCAGGAACAGACGTTTTTCTCTCTTTCGTGGTCTTTATGTGCCATTTAGGGTCCCGCCCTCGGGCACGTGAATACTGGTGGGTGAACACAGACTCCCCCAGGCCCTGGTCACACCCAGCCTTCACAGCGTTAAGCAGGTCACACGGGAATCTGCCCGAAGGCTCTAATCTGCATACAATTTGCCTGCAGCCCTGAGCTCTTCCTCCCCACCCAGGGCAGCTCTGAACCGGAGAGGCCACCTGCTCTCCTTCCTGGCATCTATCCCAGTAAAAGACTGTCTGAGCTGGAAGGGCCCTCAGGACACCGCACTCTTTCCAAGGTTGCAGCCCAAATCACACGCCACTCCCTCTATAGTTTGTGTGTTAACTGACTGGGAACCAGGGGCTCAGAGAGGTGATGTAACTTGCCCAATGTCACACAGGGAAACTAGCACCTCCCCAGCACCAGCATCCTCCCCAGGGCTCCTCTCACTTTGGCTCATAAGACGGGAGAGGAGGAGGGGGGTTGTGGGAGCCAAGAACACAGGGGCCTTTTGGGGCCCAGGAACTCTGGTCTGCTGCAGGCAAAGTCTGGGGTTCCTGTACTCCTTCCAGGGGCCTCCCCTCTTGGCCCCGAGCACCCTGCTCGGGTGTCCTATCTAAGTACACGCCCTCTCTGCCCACCGGCCTGTGCCCCCTGGAACAGCCCCTCCTTGCACCCGGGGCCAGAAGGGCTGCCAGCCGCTGGTTAATCTGTCAATGTGTCCCAGCCATGCCTGCCCCACCCCAGGCGACCTGGCCTCCCAGAGACAGAGTGGAGAAGTGAGACCCGCAACCTGAAGCTGGATCACTGAGTCACAGAGGCCAGTCTCTATTTTAATGAGAATCACAGTATCAACTACGCTTTCCTGAGCACTGACCGCGTTTCAGGGGCTGGACCAGGTGACTGACACGCATTTTCTGATTTAATCTTCACGATAACCCCAGGAGGGAGTGAATGGGACACAGACCCCCTTCCCCCACACCCCCTCATCCTGACCAGGGCAAGCTCAGAGACTGCCCAGCGGCTACTCACTTCAAGGACTGCAGAGGGCCCAGCCCTGGGAGCAGCTGAGCCAGCTGGGCTGCACCTTCGTCCCCCAGAGCATTGCTTGATAAGCTGGGAGGGGCAAGGGGAGAGCGGGTTAGTGGGGGTCGGGGGCCAGACAGGAGCTTGTCTCTCCACCCTGGTCACTCAGTCACTCAGCTTCTCCTGAAACTGGGACAAGGCTCTGGGCTGCACTGGGTCAGCAGGGGTCTCCCCCAGGGTTCCCATCCCGAGGTTCCTGACCCCTGGGGGGTCAGGGATGGGCTTCAGAGGGTGTGCAATGTGGGGGGACCTGTATTTTAGGGGGAGGAGACACAAGCTTGACCAGCTTCCCTAAGGGGCTCCTGACTGCAGAGAAAGAACTGCTGATGGTTATCTTAAAGAACAAAACACAGCCCCACACGCCGACACACACTAACCGATGGCCCCCACCCCCGCCCACCTTCCCCGACTCACTCGAGGTGGCCCAGGTGGTGGCTTCCTTCCAGCGCCTTGCAGAGCAGCTCGAGGTGCTTGGCTTGTAAGCCACAGTGCGCCAGCCTGCGGAGGGCAGAACCGCAGCCCTGCAGCGCCCGCCCCGCTGAAGAGGCGAGACACACAGGCCGAGGAGGAGGCTGCAGGAGAGGGGCCGGGATGCATGGGGCACCCAGACAGAGGGACAGAGGGGGACCGACACACACCGCACACATAAGATGTCACCCAGGCAGGGAAGAGCCAGAGACAAGCAGAGACCCAGAGAGAGAGGGAGACCAAGACGGAGAGACACAGAGACAGGAGAGAGGTTGAGACAGTGTCACAGGAGGACAGACAGACAAGGAGGGACACAGAAGAGAGAGGCCAGGAGGGTATCGATGGGAGCCCTGGGGGGGCTGAGTTAAGCCCCCAGGCCGAGGCCTGAGGCCCCAGGATCAGGACAGAAGGGGCTGCACGCTCCCCATTCTCTCCGTCCAGAATTCCTACCACCCATCAGCCGCTGGAGGTAGGGGGGCTAAAGGAAGTGGGGGACCCTGGGCCAGGGAGGTGATCGAGGGGGCTGCCTCATGAGCACTGTCTGGGCCGGGCCGGGCATGGGAGGTGGGAGGCAGGAAAGCCAGGCCAGCTCCTGGATACAGCAGGTGGTGTCCTCTGGGGAGCCCCTTGTCCAGGGGCTGGGGGCCAGGCTCTTTGCGGGGGAAGAGAAGAGGCTGGACCCACAGCCGAGGCCTGCAGCCATCACTGTACCTGATCCTTTGGGAGCGCAGGGGCAGCTCAGAGGGCGTCTGGGGCACGTGGCTGTCAGGAAACACAGCCCTGGAGGGACACACAGCACGGCCAGGCTGGGCAGATGCCTTGTCCATTGTCTCAAAGTCCATCCTCAGCCTCCCCTCCCAGGACTCCATCTCTATATGAGGCCTGGAGACAGCCAGACCCTGGTTCTGGCTTCTCGGCTCCCTGGCCGTGTGACCTGGGACAGATCACTTAAGCTTTCACTGGGAGGGTGTATGTGAATTGCCTTCATGTGGTGCTTGGTGCACAGTGAGTGCTCAATTAACCCTGGCTGTTACTCATTCATCTCATCATCATAACCGTCAGTGCCTTCAGAGATGTCAGCCTCAGCTCCAAGCAAGCTTTCAACAGCTCAGACCCCACAGAAGAGGTTTTAGGTGGACACTGAGGAGCAGAGCTGAGTCTGCCCATGTGCTGGCCTGGGGCAATCTGGGAAGGAACCCTGGAGGAGGCAGACACACTTTAAAGGGTCCTTGTGCCAAAGGGAGGCAGAAGTTCTGACCAAAATCAGAACTACAGGCCAGATGCTCCTCTGGGTGTAGGTGGAAGGACCTCAATCTCTGAGTGGGGGAGGGCCCCACTCCCGCCCCAGGGTGCCGTCTGCATCCTGTATCCCAGGGCTCTCTGCAGGCCCCACTTGGGAAACGGGGAGGCATTTTGTCCTTCGACCCTCCCCTTTAGGGCTGCGTCCCCTGCCAAGCCTGCTGGCTCCAGGCACCTTCGTGAATCTGGCAAGGGCCCCTGGCAGCTGAGTGGCACTGTCCAGCTGTGGAGGTGGGGCAGGGGGTGGCCCTGGCCGAGGGCAGGCAGGGGATAGTGTTGGGGCCCTACCTCCTCTGCATCCCCGCCTGCTCCTCTGGCTCTGGGGCAAAGGTGAGGACCACGGTTTTGTGCAGCAGGCTGCGGAGAGAAGAGAGGAGGGTTATGGGATCCCTGTTGCTCCATGTCATTTTTCGCCTGGCCTGGCGGCACCTCTAAGGTGCCACCCCCCCGCCTCTAGCTGCAGCCACTTCCTCCACCTCGACCCTGACTTCTTCTGAGCTTCTGGGGCCTGAAGTCTGTTTACCACAGAAATTTCGCAAACTTCTCAGCCTCATTTCCTGGCAAGTCTTTGAAAGAAGACTTCTGTTCTGCCTTCCCTCCGGTTGGGGCCTCAGGCTGAAACTCTCCTCCCTCTGCCCATTGGTGTTCCTTCTGCGCTCGGGCACCTTCGGCCGGGGGGACTCACCCCAATGGGGCAGGTCACTACCAGCTGGGGACAGACGTTGGGAATCCACGACAGGCTGTGACTTACAGCCGGGCCTCCCTACCCTCAGCTTTGCAAACTGAACGTTATATGTATATTCCTCATGACAAAAGTCACACTTCTTCCCTGTGGCAAACTTAGAAAATATAGTAAAGTAAGAAGAAAATAAAGAAAAATCACCCACGCACCACATATCAACTGCCACTGATAACATTTTGGAGTGGGTCCTTCAAGGCTCTAGGGTTTTTTATTAATCGAAGTTAATGTTCTTTCTTTTTTTTTTCCCTTAAAAAAATGGGATTAAAATTACAGATTCTCTTTTCAAAATTAGTTTTTCACGGGACAGATGAGGCAAACGTGACAAAAGGCTGATAATTACTGGTGGGAACTAGGGTGTTCATTTCACCATTCTCCCTATTGCTGAGTATGATTGAAAAGCTTTATTATAAAAATGATGAGTTAAAATTTCTAGGTTTACTTAATAAGCCACAGCCACCCCTCCACACTAAAGCTGCAGCTGTGTCACTGTTCCGTCGAGTTCTCTCGGGAGGCAACTTGGTTTATTTAGCTAATATTGTATTAAACATTTAAGTTATTTCCATTTTTGCCTCTTGTAATCAATGCTGCGGTGAACATCCCTGCAGCTAACCGTGTTTGCACAATCACACTAACCATGCTTGCACAATCACACTAACCGTGTTTGCACAATCACAGTGATTTCTTTAGTATAAAGTCCTACAAGGGAATGGAGCGCCATTTGGAATGCCCAGGACCCTTGACTGAATCACTATATGCAGCGAACCAAGGCCTCCGACCCACCTTGTGGGTGAACCCGATCTCCCTTTCCTCCTTCCAGGGGGTTTAGAGCAGGGACCACCCTGCTCGGCTGAGCGCCCCTCTAGGGGGGGACTGTGTTGACATTAATTAGCATCTGACCTCAGCTCCCTAGACTGAATACTGGGACTTAGAGACACAAGCTTGGGCCCTGTCTTAGGTGGGGCTCCCCAGAAGCAGAGCCCGAGCCTGTGAGTGGAGTGGGGTCACGTGTCACTTGGTCACTTGTGCACGTGATGTATGGAGGAGTGCTCTCAGGAGACACCGGTGAGGGACTCAGGGGAGCAGAACAGAGCAGGTCTTCAGCCTGATCCCACAGGAAGCTCTGGAGAGTGAATGGCACCAAAAGTTTGTCCCACCTGGAGCAAGGGGGCCGGAGAGCTATACCTGTGCCTCGCTCACTGGCCACTCCTGGCCGGGGGGACAGGGAGGGGTGTCCTCTCCGGGCATCCCTGGCTCCTACCATCCCAGGGCAGAAGTATAAGCTGTGAGCGGCCAGCACGCACAGCATGTAGGGACAGGCACCCCAGATGTACAGGGGGTCTGGGCAGGGCACCAGCAGCTCTTCTCCAGGTCCCGAAGGCCTGGGACCAGAAAGGAGTCCAAGGACTTTGAGAGACTGATGGGAGAGCCCGTGAGCTCCAGGCTGGAGGCGGGAGTGGGGGGTGCTGGTCCACAGAGAGTTCCCACCTGATGTGCAGCTCTGCCAGGGTCCGGCACGTGCTCGCTGCACCCAGCACGCGGTACAGCCCGGCCATAGAGAGCCCATTGTCGCTGAGGCTGTGGAGAGCACGAGGGAGACAGCCGTCAGCAGGCAGCTGAAGCCCAGACAGCTCCAGCCCCTGCCCCTGGCCCAGCAGCTTGCTGGCTGTCACTCTTGGGAGGCCCTGGGTCCTTAATCCTCAAAGGATCTGGCCCATGTGGATGAGCCGAGACGCACGACCCCCTCCCCTACTCAGAGAACAAAGTTCTCCAGCTGGAGCGATGGGAACTGACGATTCACTGTTTTTGCCTCTCTGAGCCTCAGTTTCCTAGTAAGTAAAATAATCACATTTTAATCCCGTTTTACAAATGGGGAAACTGAGGCCCAGAGACATGAAATTACTTTCCCAGGGTCACAAAGTGACTAAGTGACAGAGCCAGGATTTAAATCTGAAACACTGTTACCCAACCTCACTGCTCCCCCACCCCAACCCACACTTGATGCTCAGACCCTAACTCACCCCTAAAACCCCAGCCCCACCCATGCCATGCAACATCGCAACACACCCAACAGCCTTTCTCTTTTTCCATCCCACCACCCCGACAACCCACCCCTTCCCCCAGCACTGTACCCCCACCCTAACACACTGCTTCCCACCCCAAAATCCCAACCCAACACCCCAGCACCCGTCCACACAATACCCTGATGCTTTTCCAATGCAGCTCCCCACTGCACCCCACCCAGGGCTGTTGTGAGGACAAACTGGGACACTAGCTATTGAGGTACAGTGGACACATTCTACACACGCAAGGAGTTTTCACACTTGGAGCTAAGTGACTCATGCCAGAGGCGGAAGCAGGGCATGGTCGAACCACTCCAATTTTGCTGGAACTGGGATGGCCGGTAGAGCAGCACCATTTCTGGTGACCGTGGGCATGGGGACCAGGGGTGGCAGGGACCAGCTGGGGCTCCAGGACCCTCCCCGCTACCCGATAGTGGGGTGGGCAACTCACTCCAGCTTCCTGGTGATGTGGAGCTGGGGCGCGGCCTCTGCCATCAGTCTGCAGCCTTCATCTTCCAGCTGGTTCCCTGAAAGGCTGAGAGAGAGGCCCAATGCCCTGTGCTGCTAGGGTGGGCCCCCTCAACCTCGGCACTCACGCGGTCCCCCACCGCCACCAGTCAAAGCATCAATCCAATAGATGAACCTTAGTAATAACAGCAAACACTGAAAGACGGCATCCTACACGCTTGGCGCTGTCCTAGGCGCCTCTACACTTACTGGATATTTAATCCTCATGAGAACTCTACTTCCTAGAGTTGTTATGGTACTATTATCAGTTGTTAGGCACTATTGTTATCCTCATCTTACTGATGAGCCAACTGAGGTAGAGTGGTTAGACCACTTGCTCAAACGAGGACCTGGGACTTGAACCCAGGCAGCCTGACTTCAAGGCCCCCACTTTCAACTGTTTCTTTATGCTGTAACATACATAATCGCTTCCTGTGATAAACTCCATGATTATAGGGGCATCTGATCTGGTCTGGGGGTCAGGGAAGTCTTCCTTGATGTTGGCGCTACTTGCTGGAAACACTAGGAGTTCAATAGGTAAGGGGTATGAAAGAGAAGGGGGAAGAGTGTTCCTGACAGTAGGAATAGCACATTCAAAGGCCCTGTGGCATAGCACATTTGAGAACCCGAAAGGGTCTAGCATGTCTGGATCAAAGATTGAGTGGGAGGACGGGGTCAGATGGGGCTCTGCGGTTAGGGGTGGGGCTCTGGATCACACAGGATTTTAGGATTTGGGCTTTATCTTGAGCAGTGGGAAGGAGTGAAGGAGGCAGGCAGCAGTGAAATGCATTTCACTCTCTGCCAGGTGGAGGTGGCCAGGGTGGAAGCAGGGGACCCAGTGAGGAGGCGGATGGGGTCATTCAAGTGAGAGATGTAAATGGTCTGGACTAGGGAGTTGAAATGAAAAGAGGGTGGAGAAAAGAGGATGGTTTTGAGAGTGATGTAGCAGGCTAGTTGACTCAGGATGGACTGGCTATTGGGGGAGGTCAAGGGAGCTGAGAAGTGTCTGGGCTACGTAACCAGGTGGGTGACAGGGCCTTACTTCAGGTGAGAGCACTGGGGGAGGGGCAGGCTCAGTGGTGGCAAGGTAGGTGGAAGCACGAGTTTGGTAAAACCACCTTCTAATCCTGTCTTGGTTCTCCCAATGGCACAAGGTCAAGGCTCAAGTTTTGGTCACCAACGCAGGCCTCACCCCATCCATCTCACCCTGGGGTGGGTCATTCATCTTACAACACATTATGGCACTCCATCACTCCACCTTCGTACCCATTTGATTTCCTGGAATGGTCCTGGCAGGGGTCCCCTCCTGGTGACATGGCAGGACCTCCACCAATCCCCAAGCCCTCCTCTCAAAGGCCCCGCCCAGGAGCTGGGCATCATGGGAATTTCTCCAGCCCCAAAATAGGTCTTCTCACTCTATTCTGGGAGGAAGACAGAGGGTGAGGGGACCCCGAGGGCTGTGGTTTGGAAGACAGACCTGGGCGTGGTGGGATTTCTGCTTTGCAGATCTCAAGGAGAGTGATTATGAGGCTGAGGCTGGGAGTCAGACTGTCTGAGCTTGAACCCTGGCCTGGACTCTTCCTAGCTGTGTGACATTGAGCAAACTTGCCTTTCTGTGGCTTAATTTATACATGATAAGATGTATGTAAAGGCACCTGGCACAGGGCAAGTGTTAAACAGTGGTGGCTGTTACAATGATCTAATTCCCCCAAATTCTTAATGAGGCAGCATGTTCTTGCTATACTGCCCTCCCCTCCTGTCTCCTGCCCCAGCGCTTTCCACAATACTCACTCCACTTCGTCCAGGTGGGGGCCTTTCCGGAGCTGGGCTAAGAGCATCTCCACCTCATGGACCCCGAGCTGACACTCCTGTAGCCTGGGGTGGGGGTGGAGACAGAGGGGTTCAGGGCAAGAAGCTACACCATGCCTCCTCGAGCTCCGAGTGCCATCACCAGGTGTGGGAGCTGGGGAGCCAGGAGGCCAACACACCAGGAATCCAATCCTAGCCCCACTTCTCAGTAGCTGAGCGATCTTGGGGATGACACTTAACCCATCTGAGACTCAATTTCCTCCTCTGTCAAATGGGAATAACAATGTGTATTCTGCAGGGCTTTCAAAAGAATTACAATGAGGTAATGGATTATAATGGACCACAGTGCCCAGCACACAGCAAAGGTCCATTAAATTGTAGCTATTATTGTTGTCGTTATGACAGATGCTCCTTGTTTGGGCCAGGATGGGTTACTCATGTCCTTTCCTTGCTCCATGTCTGCTTTTCCCTTTATCCTCCCCAACCGTGCTATGCCTTCCCTGGGAAGGGACCCTCCCCCCATATTACATCCCTCCCCTTAAGGTAATGGATCCCACTGAGGTACCTGAGTGTCAGGCTTCTGCTCTGAGCCTCTTTCCTTGAGCTGGCACTTTCCTGTAGGTCTGGGGCTCTGGTAAGAACAAATCCAACATTGGCCTGGGCTCAGGGTCCAAGGTCTAATGGACCAAGCCTCTTCCCTTGCCTTCTAGGGGCTGAAGACCCCGTAGCAGGACCCACAGTGAATGTGTAACAAAGATGGTTGCTTGGAGGTGCTGAAGGTGCTATTCAGCAAAGCAGCAGGAGCAAAATGTTTGAGGTCAAATGGAACCTTTATTCAAATTCTGGCTCTGCCATATACAGCTGGGCATATGCAGCCTTGGGCAAGTCGCTTCACCCATCTGAGCTGCCATTTTCTCTTCTCTAAAATGGGATGACAATATCTAACACCTAGAGTGATTGAAAGATTGAATGAGATGATGTATGGCCAAGTGCCCAGCATAGGCACAAGATTGAAGCTTAGTAAAAAGGAGCTGTTATTGTCTAAGATGTGATGGTCTCCATTTGTAGATGTACGTAGATCCAGATGTAGATGTATGGTTCCGAAGGCCAGGAGCATGGACTGTATGTGGGCCCAGTCCACGGGAAGCCATGGCACCTCCAGGCTGTCTTCCACAGGGCCAGGGGAGGGCTGGGGGCTGCAGGGAGCTGGGACATTATGAGCCGGGTTTCCACAAACTTCTAGATCAGTGCTGTCCAACAGGACTTTCTGCAGTGACAGAAATGTTTTCTATCTGTGCCATCCACTATGGGAACCACTAGCCAGCCATGGACATTGAGCACTTGAAATGTGGCTAATGTGACTGATGAGCTAAAATCTTCATTTTACTTAATTTTAATTAATATAAATTTAAATAGCCACATGTGGCTAGTGGCTACCATGTTGGGCACTGCAGCTCTAGACAGTCGGAAGGGAAAAAGACATTGGTCTTACTAGATCCTGGTGCAGGCGAAGAAACTGAGGCTCAGAGCAGGGAAAGGACTGTGTCCATCCGGGACTGGCCAAGCTGGAATCCACGCACAGCTTGAACAGCCATCATTTGAGTGCCAACTGGATGCCAGCAGTGTTCTAAGCACTTCAAATGTATTAATTCACTTAATTCTCAGAATAACTCTAAGATGTAGGTACCATAATTGCCTTCCCCTTTTCTTAGTTATAAGAGCTTTCCTTGCGTACTAATGCCAATCTTACAGTATCTTCATGGCCTCCCTAAGGGTCTGACTCACTCTCAAACTTCTGGGGATGTTCCCTCACCATGGGAGCCAGATGTGGTCCAGAGATGCTAGAAGAAGCTAAAGTCTTTTGCCAACTCTGAGAAGTAAGTCATCTCTCAGGGCAGCAGTAGCAAGAAGAATCCCCACATTCTAGCTCTTTCTAAGGTCTCTTGGCCACCTTTCCCCACAACTGCCCGAGGCCAGATCGCTTCTCAGGCTGAGCCCAGCTTCACCTCCACCCCCTCAGTTTCTTACCCTGGTAGCTCTGCAGCTGTCTCTGCAGGTGGGGAGAGAAGGAAGATGAGGTCCGCCTTCCTGCAGGGTCAGACACCAAGCCATGAAACCCATGGACTGGAAACCAGCACATCACCTCCTACCTGTGCATCCCTTGCTGCCCCCAAAATCCAGAGAAAGCTGATTTTGTAATTGACAGAGAAAAAACAGAATGGGCAAAAGTGCTCCAAATCAGATATGTCCAGAATTGTGATTATGTCATTGCTTGATGAATCCTCAGTGTTTTAAAAAGTCAGGAAAAGGGGCCAGCCCCATGGCGGAGTGGCTAAGTTCGCATGCTCCGCTTCAGTGGCCCAGGGTTTCGCTGGTTCGGATCCTGAGCACAGACATGGCACTGCTCGTCAGGCCACGCTGAGGCAGCATCCCACATGCCACAACTAGAAGGACCCACAACTAAAAAATATACAACTATGTACTGGGGGGATTTGGGAAGAAAAAGCAGAAAAAAAGTCAAGAAAACAATTTTTACAAGGAAGATAATAAAAATTAGGAATGCTGAGAGTTTTTATAAGAGTCATAGCATTTTAGGATTAAGAGGCACTGCGCTTAACCTACCCAGGGATCCAAACAAGCAATGCTGGTTCAGCACCACGGAGAGCAACACGCGGCTAAGGACTCCGGCTCTGCCTGTCCTTCTTGGATTTGTTGATTCATTCCCTCATCTATCCACCAACCCATCCACTCATCTTTCTTTCTTTCTTTCTTTTTTTTAAGGTTTCATTTTTCCTTTTTCTCTCCAAAGCCCCCTGGTACATAGCTATATATTTTTAGTTGTGGGTCCTTCTAGTTGTGGCATGTGGGACACCGACTCAGCATGGCTTGATAAGCGGTGCCATGTTCACGCCCAGGATCCGAACAGGATAAACCCTGGGCCGCTGAAGTGGAGCACGTGAACTTAACCGCTTGGTCATGGGGCCGACCCCCGAATCCATCCATCTTTCTATTCATTCACTATTTATTGAGTACCAGGTGCCAGGCCTGAACTAGGCTCTGGAGACACCAATGTGAGTAAAACAGACCCAGGCATGCACACGTGGGTCTTACAGACTAGTGGCCTCCTTTTCCCATCCTCCACCCTCCCTTCCCCCTTTCTCAAGACTTTGAAGACCAGGCTCCCACCCTTTCTACTTACGTGACCTGTAGCATCCTGACGGTAGGGCACGTGACTGCCACCTCTGTCAAGTGGAGTAGGGTCCAGTCAGAGACATGGTTGCGGCTCAGGCTGCACAGTGGTGGCAAAGGTGTCAGGAGTGAGTCCCCTATCCCAAGGGCCCCAGACCTGTACTCTCAAAGGGAGGAGGGTGGCTTGGGCAGGGGTGGCAGAAAGACTGCTTACTCAAGCTTCCGGAGGTGCGGCAGGCGAGGGAGTATCTTCACGATGCTCAGCACCTCCTGGTCCTTGAGCTGGTTGTCCTGAAAGCTGCAGGGAGATCGAGGCCCGGTCCGTTAGCCCTGGGGATGGGGCACTTGGAAGCCCCAGTTGGCAGGTAACAGGCCACCCTTATGTGGGAAACACAAGACAGGGGCCGGGAACAGGTTGGTGACCTGCTCCATGGTATCTAGCAGGTGCAGCTAGGAGGAAAAGCCCTTTATTGGACTCACGTCTGTCCCTATTCAGTCCCTATAGGGGAGTTTCTGCCTGGTGGCCCATGGGATCCAGAGGATGGCCTGTGAAGGTCTCATGAGGTGAGACGAGCAGACCCAGCACCCTGCTCTCAAGGCTATGTCTGGGATGTGCCTGAGGCTCCCAGGTGATGAGCAGAGTCTAGAACAGGATGCAGGAGATGCTGCTTCTAGCCTCAGCTCTGGCCCTGACTCATCCAGAGCCCTAGGCCAAGTACATTCCTTTCTGACCCCACGTTCCCCACCTGTCAAATGGGGTCCACAGCCCAGCACTGCCTGGGTTCCTAGCTGCAGGGACAGAAGAACTAAAGAGTGTGAGGGTGCCTTTGTGCGTGACCACTTGGGTCAGGCCAAAGGTTTGGAAATATTGAACTGGTTGACATTTACTTTTCTTTCCTGATTAGCAAGAGTGAACTTAATATTTTTTCCCATCACCCAGAGTGATCACGCACAAAGACACCAAGTGGAGGAGGAGAGAGGAGAGCTGTGGTCCCGCTAATGCTCCACTCAGCAAGCGGCGCACCCGTGCGCTGCGCTGCATCTGCCTGGACGAAGTGGTCCCTTTTCTAAGTTTCATAAAGGGGCCATATGAGCTAGCAGCAGTTCTGCCAGTGAGCTGCTGAGGAGGCTGCCACTTTCTCAGGCCACTCATCACAGACACAGGGCAGGAGTATGTTTGTGCCTACGTGCTTAGATGTGTATGTGGATCTAAGTGTGCATGCATGTGTGTGCTGCACTTGTGCACACCTATGAATGTGCATGCATGTGGGGCATATACTTAAGTGAACTGGCAAGTGTGAGTGTGTATACACATGTGCACAAATGTGGAGGAATGTGTGCTTCATGCATATATGTGTACCCACAGTGCCTGACAACTGCCTACACACCGCCATCCCTTCTCTTGGGGTCACAGAAAGAGTGGAGGGAACCTCAAAAGTCAAGCTCTTTCAAGAGGCCCCAAAATGTGAGATGAGAGAAGCACTGCTCTGGGGTCTCTGAGAGCCTTGTGCTTGGATCCAGCCCACCCAGTTCTTGGACTGATGCCTCCCCTCTCTGGGTCTCAGTCTGGCCAGACCCTGATGGAATCAAACTTGTTGACAGGGGGACCCTGGGGCCTGGGCAGTGACTCTTGCCCCTGGCCAGGGTACCCTCCTGGAGATCACTCACCTGACCTCTTCCAGCTGTGGACAGAGGGACAAAGCCTGCACCACGTGGCTGATGCCTCGGGCAGTGATCTTACTTCCCGCTAACCTACAAGTAAGCAAAGACGGTGAAGAAGGATGCCAATGGGAAAGGGGGCGGGCCAGGAATCTGCCCCGCGTAGGGTTGAGGGGAGGGAGGAGAGTTCCAGGCATCCCAGGCTGAGGGTCCCTCTCGGTCCCAAGCCCTGGCTCACCCCAGCTTCTTCAGGCTCCCCATTGTTGGCAGGCTCCTGGAGAGGGCTTCTGCAAAGGCATCCCCACACTTCCTGCTCTTAAAGCTGCCACAGGAAGAGGCAAGGTGGCAGAGGATCAATGCTGGTCATCACCCACCCCCTCCTCCAACAGATGGAACTTAATACAGTAACGTTAATAGTAGGAGTAGTAATTGTTGTAGTAGTAACAAATACATATTATGCCAGAGGCTGCTAATTGTCCACCAAAACCCATTCTCCACTTACATAGCTATAGCCGGGAGTATGGTTTCCCAGCCAGAGACAGCATTTCCCAGCCTCCCTTGCAGCTCAGTGCAGCCACATGACCATGTTCTCATCACTGGAATGTTCTCACCACAGGAATGAGTGGAAGGGATGTGCCCTATTTCCAAGCCTGAGCTTTAACATTGGGTGCATCTAACCCATGCTCTCTCTTTCCGTTCCCCCAAGCCAGAGCACAGATGTACCCACGACGCAGCTTTGATCATGCAGATCAAGATGCCCAAGGAGATGATGGAGCAACAATGGAAGGGACCTGGGTCCCTGCCCGACCACATGGAACTGAGTCATCCCACTGACCTGGACCATCTACCTCTAAGTCTTCCATGAGAGTGAAAAAAAGCGCTACATTATTTAATCCACTGCATGGGGGGTGGGGGGAGGCTTTGTCACTACAGCCTAGCCTTTTCTCTAGCTATTACACACATCAAACCTTTACTGTGTGCCAGGAACTATACTAAGAAGTGTTTTTTATGCATTATCTCAGTTCATTCTCACAACAACCCCATGAAGTAGGTATGATTATTGATTCATTTTAGGGATGAAGAAACTCAGGCTGAGAAGTTTAATGGCCTGTCCAAAGTCAGACAGTCTCTAGCAGCACAGCCTGGATCAGAGGCTCTGGCCCATGACCGAGAGAGAGAGAAAGAGCGTCCAGAAACTGCAACAAGAGGAGATCCAACTGGACCTCAGAGATCCTGGCGAGGCATGAAGCTTCCTCACTGTGTCACAGGCTAAGGGGCAATGAGGGCCTGTCTGTTCTGATACTCAAGACGCTGACCCCATCTCCCTCAGCAAGAGGCTGCTAGACTGGTTGGCCTCCACTCTCCCAAAAGCCCAGTTCCCTCCCAGGTCCTCCCTAGTCCTCCCCTGCCCTTGCTCTCACCTGAGACTCTCTACCTGCCCACAGCTTGCCAGAGCCTCAGGGCAGGAGGGCTCCAGGGGGCAGCCCTCAAAATTCAAGTGGACAGGAGCATCCCTGTGCCCCAGGATGTTGGTCACAGCAGCCAGGTCGGCGTGGGTCAGTGGGAAGTTGTGGAACTGCAGTTGATAGGGGAGACTCTGGGCCACCAGGCCGGCCAGCTCAGACTCCTGTGTCTCGCTCACACAGTGACACAGCTCTACCACCTTCGGCCCCGTGAGCCTGCGGGTGGCCAACTTCCTCAATGCCTGCGCGACCGCAGCCTGCTTGGCACTCACCCACACCTCGTCTCTCTGTGCCAGCTGGCTGAGGAAGTGGCGGCAGGCACAGGATGCCAGGCCCGACAGGAAGGCGGGAAGGTGGTCTGAGAGGCCCAGTCGAGCTTTGGTCCGCAGCACCCAGCGAGAATTCAGGGTGACATGGCGGGCGAGTGCATCTTGGTCCACCTCGGGGCTGGCCATCAGGTGCAGGGCAGCAAAAAACTCCTGCAGGCTGAGGTAGGGGAAAGCATAGCCTGTCTCCTGGCGCCCAGGGCTGATGCAGATGCAGAAGGAGATCAGCAGGCCGTGGGCAGCCCCAAAGGCCAACGTGGCTGGAGGGATGTCTCTGGCAGAGAAGATAACCTTCCCGGTCTCCAGGCCACTCAGGGCCACCTCACAGAGACCCATCAGGGAATTGGCAGGCAGGTACCCACGGGGCCTGAGGGCGAGCATCATCTGCACATAGGTCTGAGTCATGGTGGGGAGGAGGGCCGCAGACTGGCCTGGGGAGCTGCCTGGGAGCAGATGGTGGAGGCAGACGCAGGTGACACGGCACAGTGCAGGCACCGCACACAAGCTCCGGAGACGTCTGTTTGCCCGTAACTCTGCCAGGGCGGCCTTCTGCGACGGCAGGTCGCTGAAGAAGCGGCCCACGAACTCCTCCACCCGTGGCCTGTCAAAACCCCACATGTGGACCGTGGCCGCCTCCGTGGGCACGCAGGCGGGCAGCTTCCCTGGACGTGAGGTGGCCATTACCCAGCAGCCGGGCAGGAGGGTCCCACGGCAGAGGTCAGAGAAGAGGGTGAGGGCTGGACCTAGGGCCTCAGGATCTACAGTCTCTCCGCTGGAACAGGGCTGGAGGGCCTCGTCCAGCCCATCAAAGATCAGCAGGACCCCATTAGCATTGTCCTCCAGGTACTCAAAGACGGCGTCAGGGCCCTCCTCGGGGCTCAGGTACAGATCAAAAAGGAGCTGAGGCAGTGTCAGGACACTTGTGATCAGGTTGAGCTGGCGGAATTCAAAAAGGAACAGGGCCTGGAAGCGGTCCAGCTGGCCGTCGGCCCACTTCTGGCAGAGCCAGTGGGCTAGTGTGGTCTTGCCCATGCCCGCCTTCCCCAGAAGCACCCTCACCCTGGGACCCTTGTCAGCCCTGGTGTTGAGGAGGTCCAGGATGCTCACGTCGGTGCCATCTTCTGCCTTGGGGTCCCCCATAAGGGCCCCCTCCTGAGTGCTGAAGGGCGCCGTGGCTCGGCTCCACTGCAGGACTGGGGGGACGTAGGCCTGGGGGAAGACAAGCGGCTGCCCCGGCCCCAGGATCCTGCCGCCGTAGCGCTGCTGGGCAGAACTCCTCAGCAGCTTCAGGTACCTCTTGGCCAACTCTGCAGGGGGCAGGGAGACGGCGTGAGGGCAGAAGGCCTCCCCGCACCCACATCCCCTCCCCTCAGAGTCGGCTGTTGGGAGCCAGTAGCCTCAGCTGTGTATGTACAGGACGCAGTGGTGGCAAGAGCACACAGGGCCTCTCGTGTCACCCAAATTCCTCGAAAGAGTTGGTTCTACAGCAGCACAGGCTCTGGCAGCCATTTAAACAGAGGATTATGAATGGGGACGTGTGGATCATGGCTTGATTTGTTTCACAACAACTGAACTGGTGTCAAGTTTTCAGTCTGATGGGGGAGGGGAAGGAGGCACCTCCTTTGCAACGTCTCAGTGGAACAACCTCTTGCTGTGATGTCTGAGTGACCTGTGCCCCTCCCCAATGTTTCAGTCCTGCAATGCCCAGGGGTGAGCAACAACCTGCAGGCCCAGGTACTAACCCATCAGAACTGCAGGAGCTGGGCCCCTACAGGCCCAGGCATGGGCTTCTTAATTGCTGGGTCATTGGGAGATGCTGAGTGGCCCAGGGGAAGGACTGGGGCCACTGGGAGCCTACACTGGGGGTACTGGGGTAGTGGCCTATGTTATAGAGACGTGAATCGTCTGACCATCGGTGGATCCTCTGGCTATGCCCACGGGGCTTGGGTTTCCCAGCTGGTGGGAGAGATGGTTGAGAACAAGGGCTTTTCTGAACAACTGGTGGAGAGTGAGAGAAGTTCTGTGTCCTCCACTCCCCCTGGCCCGGCTGGTCCTCAGCAGCTCCCATGTCTCCAAGGGCCCCAAAGGGCTTCTGTCTTGGGTGATTCTCCCTGGTATCCTGCTCACCCCTAAACTGGCCAATGAGGACCCAGGCCTGAAGGCATGCAGGTCACCTCCCTGGGGATCCCTCAACCCTGAGGACATGGGGGTGTCCCAGGAAGAGTCCGGATGATGAAGCCGCAGCCTTCTGGGATGCTTCAAGCTCTTCAGCTGAGCCATCTCTGGAGAGGCCCTCCTGCGGCCTTTGGGGGAGGCTATTCCTTGCTAGACTCAGCCCCTCTTCTGCCCACACAGGACCTCCAATCCTTCTCTCCTGGAAGCTTGCAAGACAAGAGTCACTGGGCCCCTGGAGGCTTGTCAGCAGGGAACAGAGTCCAGGATCTGTGTCCCCGCGCCAAGGCAATCCAATCCCTCTGTTTGGGTCCCGCCTCACCTTGGTACTCACCTAGCTGCTGCTTCCTGGACTGCTTTGGGCGGGGCGAGGACCCACAGCTCTGATGAGGCCGCTTGATACCTGGAAAGAATGAAGGAAAGAGTAAGTGATGAGGTTTGTAGGCCTGGGCTGAGGGGGTACCCAGCATCTTTGGGGAGCTTCATTCCACAAACGAGCTGTAGGCAGACAAGCGTATCCACACCCAGAGGCTGAAGGAAGGCAGGCAGTGGACAAAGGCTCCATCAGTACCAGCTTCTGTTTGCAGAGGGGGTCCTGGGCCCTGGTGAGAGGGCCAGAGGCTCTGGGCTGGGGGATCTCCCAGTCCAGCACGCAGGGTGAAGGGCACACAGCCAGCAGCCTCAGAAACACTTAGTCCCAAGCACTAAATGGCTTGGGAAGGACCCAGCTCTGTGGAGGCCACCACTAGTTGGAAAAGAAGAGTTTCCAACAGGCTTGGCCAGGGCTGTGCCCCACCCCGTGTGCCTGTGCGCTTCATCACTCTGATTTCCCATCTCCCACATTGCCTCACTGCCTCAAATGGCTTCGTGAGTTCTTCAATGGTTGCCTGGATTTTCAAGAGTCATTCTAATCCCTTTCTGAAGATGTTGGGAAAGGAAGAAGGAAAACAAGAAGGAAGGGGAGAGAGAAAGGAGGGGAGGGAGAAAGAAAAGAGGACTTAGGGGAGAAGTTTAAGAAGAAAAGCAGGATGCTCCTACAGCTAGGACAGTGAGCAATCAGAACAGCCCCTGAGCAGGCCCCTTGCCCTGCCAAGTGTCAACTGTTTAGTTGCTGGATTGCAGGGAGACCCAGGGGTCCCAAAGAGGGACTAGAACCAGTTTGAGAGTACTTCAATAATTTAACACGTCGTCTATTAATGAGGGACTGAATCAGGCCTGGTGACAGCCATGTGAGAATTATGCCAGCCTAGTGATAAGGGTCGGAAGGGAGCAGGGACCAGGACAAACAGTTTTGATTGTTGAGGAGCTGGGATTGTGGGGTGGATGTTTCCTGTTAAAGCATGTTGGTGTTAGTGCCATGCACAGCTATAAGCAAAAAGTTCACATTTCTACAGAAATAAAGGTTCTGAACCCACAGCAAACATCATACTCAATGGTGAAAGACTGAAAGCCTTTCCCCTAAGATGAGGAACAAGGCAAGGAAGGCTGTTTTCACCACTTCTATTCAACATAGTACTGGAAGTGCTAGCCAAAGCAATTAGGCAAGAAAAAGAAATGAAAGGCATCCAAATTGGAAAGGAAGAAGTAAAATTATTTCTTTTTGCAGATAATAGGATCTCATATGTAGAAAACCTAAAAACTCTACAAAAAACATTTTAGAACTAATAAATGAATTCTGCAAAGTAGCAGAGTAGAAAGTCACACACAAAAATCATTTGCATTTCCATACACTAACAAAGAACAATATGAAAAGGAATACAAAAACAATTCCATTTACAATAGCATTAGAAAGAATAAAATACACAGGAATTAACCAAAGAGGTGACAGACTTGTACACTGAAAACTACAAAACATTGCTGAAAGAAATTGAAGAAGATATAAATAAATGGAAACACATCCCATGTTTATGGACGAGAAGATTTAATATTATTAAGTTGTCAATATTATATTACCCAAAGCAATCTACAATTTCAATTCAATCCCTATCAAAATCCCAATGACATTTTTTGCAAAATAGAAAAACCCATCCTAAAATTCATATAGAATCTCAAGGAACCCCAAATAGCTAAAACACTCTTTTTCTTTTTATTGTGGGAATGTTGGTTTATAGCATTATATAAATTTCAGATGTACATCATTATATTTCGATTTCTGTGTAGATTACATCATGTTCACCACTCAAAGACTAATTACCAACCATCACCACACACATGCGCCTAATCACCCCTTTCGCCCTCCTCCCTCGCCCTGCTAAAACACTCTTGAAAAAGAACAAAGCTGCAGAACTCACACTTCCTGATTTCAAAACTTATAACAAACCTACGGTAATCAAAACAGTGTGGTACTGGCATAAAGACAGACATAGAGACCAACGGAAGAAAACAGACAGCCCAGAAATAAACCCTCATATACAGTCAAATGATTTTTGACGAGGGTGTCAAGACCATTCAATAGGGAAAGGACAGTATTCAATGAGTGTTTGGGGAGACCTAGAGAGCCACGTGCAGAAGGATGAAGCTGGACCTTACCTAACACCACACACAAAAATTAATTCAAAATGGATCAAGGACCTAAACGTAAGACCTAAAACAATAAAACTCTTAGAAGCAAACGTAGGATGAAAGCTCATGACATGGGATTTGGCAGTGATTTCTTGGAGATGACACCAAAGGCACAGACAACAAAAGAATAAATAGACAAATTGGACTTCATGAAAGGTAAAACATTTTGTGCATCAAAAGACACTATCCACAGAGTAAAAAGGCAAAGCACAGAATGGGAGAAAATATTTACAAAATATATATCTGATAAATGATTAATATCCAGAATATAGAGAGACTTCTAAAACTCAACAACAAAGAAACAAACAAGCTGATTCAAAGATGGGCAAAGGACTTGAAGAGACCTTTCTCCAAAGAAGACACACAAATGGCCAACACGCACATGAAAAGATGCTCAACATCACTAATCATTAGGGAAGTGCAAATCAAAACCACAGTGAGATACCACCTCACACCCATCAGGATGTCTATACCCAAAACACAGAAAACAAGTGTGGGCGAGGATGTGGAGAAATTGGAACCCTGTACACTGTTGGTCGGAATGTAAAATGGTACGGCTGCTGTAGAAAACAGTATAGAGGTGCCTCAAAAAATTAAAAATTGAACTACCAAGTGACCCTGGATTCTGGGTATATACTCAAAGGAATTGAAAGCAGGTTCTTGAATAGATATTGGTTTACCCATCTTTACATCAGCATCATTCACAACAGCTAAAACATGGAAGCACCCCAAGTGTCCATCGATGGATGAATGGATGAGCAAAATGCGGTACATACATACCACGAATATTATTCAGCTTTAAAAAGAAAGGAAATTCTGACATATGCTACAATATGGATGAACCTTGAGGACATTATGCCAAGTGAAATAAGCCAGTTGCAAAACAGTTCCACTTACCTAAAGTACTTACAGTACTCAAAATCATGGATACAGAGAGTAGAATGGTGGTTACCTGGGGCTGGGGCAGGCAGAAGGGGAGCTATTGTTCAATGGCAGAGTTTCAGTTTTACAAGATAGAAAGAGTTACGGAGGTGGATGGTATGATGGCTGCATAACAATGTGAGTGTATTTGATACTACTGAACACTACACTTAAAAATGTTTGAGATGGCAAATTTTACATTATATGTATTTTACCACAATAAAAGAGGAAAGAAAAAGAAAGAAAGATTCTGAGCAGGTTCACCATTGGTGAGGGGGCCGCCATTTGATCTGCGACCCCTCCCAGCCCATCGGAAGATGAGTCAGCGGCTCGCTGGGTGTGGAGAGCAGTCTGTGGGGGAGGCTCAGGCCAGAGGTCTGGGTCTGTGGGGCTGGAACATGAGGCCCTGAGGCTTGGGCACAGGGACATGAGAACAGGCTTCATTGAGGGAAACCAGACAGGGGATTCTGGCAGTGGCCAAGGGCTGACAACTTCAGACTCTCCAGGTTAGACCCCTGGGAACAGGTGTGGGGACAGACCAAAGCCTTGAGGGGCACAGCAGGGGAGGAGATGACACTGCGAGCCATGGGGAGAGCAGGGGACATGTGCAAATGGGGCGGTGGACGAGGAGGATGGTTTATGGCAAACAGCTGTGATGAGCCACCATGAGCCTTCTCTGGGTTGGAGGTGGGGCCCCTCCTGTGCCCGCCCGGGGCCTCACCGTGCTGGAGCTGAGATTCTGGTCCGCAGTCCTCACCAGCTTCCAGCGGACTGGGAAACCCTGGAAGAGAGGGGAGGATAATAATATACTATGGGGCTGTGGTGCGATGCCCTGGGACCGGCTCTGGCCAGGTGTCTGACTCAGGGCCCATCCCTCAGGATGGGTCCCCAGCAAGTTTATACTCTGTGATCTTTGGAGAGCACAACTGGTGGTGAGCCTTGAAGGCAGCTGTGGGCAGAAATGTGTGTCTATATGCAGGTTTGTGCATGTGCAGGCATGTGTGTGCATGCACATGTGTTCATGCATGTGCACATGCATACACTCATACTGTGAACTTCCTGCCTTTGCTGCACTCTGCCTTGTGGTAGAGATCTTCAGTGAGTTCTCGATTCCTCCCCAGGAACATCATTGCCCCTCAATGTTCTGTGTTGCCCCACGGTGCTGTGTAAATAGAAGATGTCCAAGAAACGCGCACCGAACGGAACAGAGTTCAACCCGCCCGCCCCTCAGGAGAGGTCAGAGGGCTCCCCCTGTGACAGCTTCTGACCACATTGTGAAAAGAAACCTCCTGGGCATTGTGGGCTATTTGGAATTTCTTGGCCAAAAGGAGTCACCTGATTCTTTCTGTCCTTGTATCTTGCCTCTCTGGGCAGCTGGGGTGGGGCAAGGTAGAAGGAAGGGTCCTCCAGGTCCCCAGCTGATTTGCTGGGCTTAGGGAAGTGCTCAGAAGCCTGGAATTTTGTTCCTGGCTTGGCCACATTGTCTCTGTGTCGCTCAGGTGGGTCCCAGCCTTCCCTGGGCCTCCCAGGCTCCATGCAACAAGGGGCTTGCTGGCTTCTTGGCACCTCTCACGCCTGCCCTTACCGTCTCCGTGGCCCCACGTGCTCAGCAGCGGCACCTCCAGCTCGAGCGGCACCTCCAGCTCCATGCACACGCAGTGGATGAACGTCTGCCAGGGGGCCGGGCCCTGGGCGTACAGTTCCCTGAGCTGTTGGATGATCCTCTGCGAGGGGTCCAGGGCCTCGCTCCTGGAGCCCAGGTCCATGTTGGGGAGGAAGAACTTCACCTTGGCGTTCATCCATTCTGGGGCTTGGCTGAGCAGCCTCACGAGCCAGCTCCACAGGCTCTTGGTGCCCAGCTGGAGGCTATCGGGGTCCATGAGGAGCTTGCCCTGCAGGGACAGGGTAGACAGGTGAGTTGAGCGGCACGTGAGCTGGGGGCCAGGTGAGCTGGGAGGCAGGTGAGCAGGGGGACAAGTCAGCTGGGGGGAAGCCTAGGGGGGCAGTCAAGAACTACTCCCCACATTTGAGGGGCAGAAAACAGGCAGACAAGTGGCCTCTCGGGGGAGTCTCAATACTTCTTCCCCGGAGGTCAGCCTGCTTCTTCTGCACCCCCTCCCTTACCTGCGCCTGTGTCCTGGCTCTGGAACGGTCTGGTTCATTCCCTGTGGATGGTCCCCTGAGGATGTTTTGTTCTTTGTTTCCCTGGATCCATTTTGCTGTTCTCTATCTGAGCTAAGCTCACAGCAGAGACAACTAGTGCCCCAAAATTCGTTCCCCCGTTCTCCCCTAGTACTAGCACCCCTGAATATTCCCTAGTCATCTGGAATAGACTGTATTTCCCAGCCTCCCTTGCAGTTAGAGGTAGCCATGTAATTGTTTTGGCCAATGGGAAGTACGTAGAAGTACTGTATAGCTTTCTTTGCTTCTTCTTGTTGGCTGGAATGCCTACGTGATGACTGAACCTTGGGCAGCCATATTGGATCGTGAGGTGGAAGCCAGTGCTGAGGAAGGTGGAGGGTAAGGCTGTCCATCTGCCTCGGACTCTCTGACTTTGAACTTCTACTCTATGGCAGGGAAATACATTTCTATTCTGTTTAAAGCATGTTGTTTAGTGCTTTCTGCTACTCACAGTGGAATCTAATCCTAGCTAATACAAACCATCTCTCTCTTTCTAAGCAAATTCCTCCCTTCTAAACTGGAACTCTCAAACAACCTGCTGGTTGGGCAAGGGACACTTACATAGCAAAAGCCTAAAAAACATGCAGTCTCTGATTCAGCAATTCCATTTCTAGCACTCTAGCCTTAGGAAACAATCATGGATGTACAGCTTTTTAATTACAAAGCTGTTCACTGCAAGATTATTTACAATAGACAAAAATTGGAAGCAACCTAGATATCCAGCAATTGGGGATCAGTTAACTAATTGTTGGTCCACCCTGCAGTGGAAAATGCGATAACATTTCCAAATGTACTTTCTGGCACTATTTCCTTAAGAATGGCAGCAAACACTTAGAAAGCACTTTCTATATGTTGGGCACTGTTCTAAGTGCTTTGTGTGCCTCACGTAATCCTCACAACTCCAGAGACCCTGCCTCCAACTCTGAAAAGGATGGCAGGGCCACCCAGGAGCCAGCCTTACCAACTCCCAGAGCCGGGGCACAGGACTCTGTGTGCGGGGTTCAGATGCCAGCTCCTCCCTTGACCCCCAGCAGACGCCTACTGCGCATGTGTCCCCATCCCCTCTGGTCACACCTCTGCAACCGGACTAAAAGCAATAGCTCCGTGCTCAGGCAGAGCTTGAGAATTCATGAAGCATGCGCACACCCATGGGGGAGGCAGGGATCACATCCCCACTGCACAGGTGGAAAGACTAAGGCCGGGGAAGGGTGAAGGATGTACCCAAGGTCAGACTGCGAGTCCGTGGCAGAGCCAGGCTCAGAACTGAGATTTCTTGCCTCCTTGGAGGCAGGAATTTACTAACGTAATTTCCAAGGCCTTGGGAGCCTAGATGGCACCAAACAAGGCTAAGTTCCTGGATTTTGTGTGATCTTGGCAAGTGGATGTGGCCATGCCCCAGGACACAGCTTCTTTACCCAGCTATAGGGTGCAACGTCCATGCCGCCCATAAGGAAATGATCTAGGGCAGCAAGATGCCAGGTGGAGGTGAGAAGTGCCTGGATGGCGTGATTTCTGGGGAAGTTCTTATCCTCAGCTTTCTCCTCCAGCCGGTCTGACACAATGCCTTTGCTCCCACCATTAGTGCTCTACCCTCTTGGAGTAAGACATCAAGCTCTTTAAGGGTAAGCACCCCTGGGAGAAAGAGCACATTACATCAACCTGATCACTGAGGCTTCTGTAGCAAACAGCCTCGGAGACGGAGGATTACAGTAGCGAGATCCTCGGCCCCAGAGTGAGGAGTCGAGCGCTCTCGCCCCAGCTCTGCAATAACTCTTTGTCTGAGCATCTGGGCTGCTCACAGATACATCCTTCTGCTCCTTCCAGGCCCTTGGTAGGACCGAACTTCCCCGCCCCTTGAAATCAGACATGGCCATGAAACTTGCTGTGGCCAATGAAATGTGCTAAACAATGACACGTGTCCCATCTGTGCGGAAGTTTTCAGAGCCTGTGTGCGGTTCAGCACGCTCTCTCTGTTCCTCGACCACGGCAGTATTCCAGATCTTGGCTGCTCCCTTAGCCTGGGTCCGGGAAAGAGGATAATGTGGAACAGAGACCCCAGTCAATTCACAATAGACAAGAAGTCGGAGCAGGAAACGGGCTTTCGTTGCTGTAACCCGAGGACTTTGAAGGTTGTTTGTTACTGCAATACAAACTAGCCTATCCTAGCCGAAACACCCATAGAATGACCTTGAGCAAGTCTCTTCCGTCTCTGGGCCCTGGTCACACCATCTATGAAACGGGTAGATCAGATGCTGTCTCGGGCCCTGGTTGATTTGCTGAATGGTGGCCAAGGGTAGCTTGCCATTTTGGGGGCAGCCCAGTGAGGTCAGTCCGGGTAGGGGCAGGTCGTGGTAGGGAGCAGGAGGAGAGTGGAGGAGTGGACGGGAGGGGAGAGAGGAGGAAAGGGGAAAGGTCACCTACTTGGCCTCCTGGTTCATCATAGGTGTTCTAGCGCGTCTGCGGAGAGGGTCTCATGGGTGCCTCGGCCAAGCCCCACGGCCTGAGCTGGATTTGCAGGTTGTTTCCAGTGGGGAGGCCCCTAAGGAGAAAGGAGACAGGCGCTCTCCCCACCATCCCAAATTCCAAGAGGAATGCTGTAAAAAAGGCACAGCCCGAACCCTCCTCCAGAGACCCCCTCGGAGGACACTTGGCGCAGGAACAGTCCCCTTGCCTTCGTGCGCAGATCCTTCCCAGACCACAGCTCCTTTTGTCTCTAGACTTTGCACAGCCCAGTCCTCCCCAGTGTCACCTCCTGCCACATCGGGCCCAGAGGATGCCCCTCTCCCTTCTCCAACTCGGACATTCACCTTACAGTGACTTGTGGCATCAGAGTGTGCCCTTCAAATCCAGCAGATTCATGACAGCTGATTTATTTTGATGAACATGGAATAGTCCTCATGGCAGATGCCAACTTCCTTTCCCAATAAAACTCCAAAAGGGTTAGGATTTGTCATCTTCTTTCTTCTTCTTCTTCTTCTTCTTTTTTTTTTTGCTGAGGAAGATTAGCCCTGAGCTAACATCTGTGCCAGTCTTCCTCCACTTTATATGTGGGTCACCACCACAGTGTGGCTGACGAGTGGTGTAGGTCCACACCCGGGATCCAAAAGCATGAACCCAGGCCACCAAAGTGGAGCGTGCCAAACTTAACCACTGCACCACAGGCTGGCCTCCCATCTTCTTTCTTATTACACTAGGAAGTGTTTTTTAAACAATTGAGAGTAAATATTCTTCTTAATGAGAAAACCCAGAGGCTTTGATTGCTGCCTTGCCAAGAACTCAATAAAATGATGCCCTAGCACCAATGCCTATGTAATGCAACTTTTGACAGCTTGGCTAACAATGTGAAACGGACAAGAAAAAACACGGCTAAAAGCCACATGGAAGAAAGACAGAAAGGCAAAAGATCAGTGTGTGCACTGACGGTGTATCTACGAAGTGTAAGGACTGTACCTACAAAGTTCCAGGACCTTAGATAAATCCGCACAAATAGGCACATTCTAACAGAACAGAGGCGAGCGCTGTAGTTCGAAATAGGAAAAGAAAAAAGACACTGGAAACTAATACAATGCTATATGTCAATTATATCTCAATTAAAAAATTTTTTAATTAAAAAAAGGAAAAGGAAAAATAGATCGTGTTGAAGAGGTACTGGGGTACTAATAATATCTTTTGAAACAAAACTGTCAATTCTCACAGAAGAAATGAAGAGAGGCAGGAGTGAACCGAGACGAAGCGTTGCTATGGACTGAATGTTTGCGTGCCCCCACATTCGAATGTTGAAGCTCAAATCCCCAGTGGGATGGTATTTGGAGGGGGGGCCTTTGGGAGGTCATTAGGTCAGGGGGATGGCTCGCAGTGAGGTTAGTGTCTTTTAAGAAGAGGCAGGAGAGATCTTGCTTCCTCTGTCTGCTCACCGCCATGTGGGGAAGGCGGCCGTCTGCAAGTCAGGAGGAGCCCTCACCAGGCGCCATGTCTGCTGGCACCTTGATCTTGGACTTCCCAGCGCCCAGAACTGTGAGAAGGAAATGCATGTTGAGTGAGCCACACAGTCTATGTCACCCGGTTATAGCAGCCCAAATGGACTCCGACAGACCTGCTGGTGACCACGGAAAGGACAGGAAAAAACCCTTCCGGTTAATATGTAGATTGAAGGCAATGCCACTTAAATTGTAGCAGAGAACTTGATAAAATTATACATCATTTAGACAAAAAAGGGCAGAAACGACAAGTGTTTGCACGCTTTAGGTATTTCATAATAAACATTGTAAGTTAGAATTAGATAACAAGAAAAAAAATGAAGACAATTAGATCAAAGCCTATTTGCTGGGAGAGGCAGGCAATAACGGAGAGACTTCCCAACATAACAAAGCATATTATAAAGTGACTGTCATTAAAGCTGGATTAAAAATAGAAAATTTGATCCAAGGAATGGAATAGAGTTCAAATTAGCTTCACACTCACTTAAAACTCACCATTCAATATTCAATGGTCTTAAGAGAAAAAGTAGTATTAAATATATAGTAGTGTATATATTATTATATATAATACATAGTATTAAAACACACAGTAATCCAAGTATTTTAAACTTACAGAATTTTTATTTTTGCTAGGAGACATTTGCCTTGAGCTACCATCTGTTGCCAATCTTCCTCTCTCTTTTTTTTTCCTCCCCAAAGCCCCAGCACACAGTTGTAGATTCCAGTTGTAAGTCCTTCCAGTTCTCCTACTGAGCTGTTGCCACAGCATGGCTATTGATAGACACCGGGAACCAAACCTGGGCTGCCGAAGTGGCGTATGCCAAACTTTAACCACTAGGCCATCAGGGCTGGCTCAAGAATTATTATTATTATTACTTTTGTGTGAGGAAGATTGGCCCTGAGCTAACATCTGTTGCCGATCTTCCTCTTTTTGCTTGAAGAAGATTGTGGCTGAGCTAACATCTGTGACCATCTTCCTCCACTTTATGCGGGATGCCACCACAGCGTGGCTTGAGGAGCGGTGCTAGGTCCATACCTGGCACCTGAACTGTGAACCCTGGGCAGCCGAAGCAGAGCACGTGAACTTAACCACTACACCACCGGGCCGGCTGCAAGAATTATTTTTTAACTAAGTAATTAAATTAAAATGTTCTGTATGGACAGATTTAAACCACAACCAGATACCATTTCACACCCACATAGAACGGCTACAATGAAAGAGAAGACAATCCTAGTGTTGATGAGGATGTGGAGAAATGGGAACCCTTACACACTGCTGGCGGGGACGTAAAATGGTACAGCCACTTTGGAAAACCATTTGGCAGTTCCTTAAAACGTTAAACATAAAGGGACCATAAAATCCAGCAGTTCCACTCCCAGGTCTATACTCAAGAGAAATGAAACCATATACCCACACTGAAAACTCATCCACAAGGGTCCATTATCCATAATAGCCAAAGGGTGAAAACAACCCAAATGTCAAAAAACTCATGGAGGGATAAACAAAATATGATACATCTATACAGTTGAGTATTATTTGGCAATAAAAAGTAACAAAGTAGTGATACATGTTACACATGGATGAACCACAAAAACATTATGCCAAGTGATAAAGACTCCTGATGAAGTATCCTATTCAGTAAATCCAGATTTAACGAGCTCGGGCACGTGTATGTTTCAAATGTGTGTGCACGCGTGTGTGTGTTTCCATACCTCGAGACCCGCTCTAAGGCTACACAAGAGACTGGTGACAGGATTGTGTCTGGGGAGGGGACCTGGGGCACGCAGGCAAAGGAGAGCCCTTACGCTGTACTCTTTTGGGCCACTTTGTACCATTCGAACTTTTTTAACGGGTGCATTTTAATGTGAAAAAAACCCATAAAAACATTTGCAGTAAAAACTAGACTAGACATTTCTGCAATGTGTAGAAAGAGAAATACGTGAGGAGAGAGTAAGCACAAGAAATGATCTGCGATGGCTCACAGAAATGGAAGTTCCCTACGTCATGGAAAATAATAAAACTTAAACAGAAATAGGAAGGTAATAAATGAGGATAAATATTTGTATTAAGTATGACAGACGGAGGCTGAAGATCCAAAGTGAAAAGTTATTCATACTTATGGAGGAAATATTTTAGTTTAACATTTTTTGTGTGTTATAGGTCCAAAACTACATTTTCACTGGAAAAGTGGTTGCAAAAGCTGAACAGATGATGCAATGAATATTTGCAAAATGCCAGTGCCTTTCGGCCTCATCTATTTTAATCCTCACAACTACTCCTCTTGGCTGCCTCGTATGAATCGAAAGATTTCCGAGTCCAAAACTGAGCTCCTCACCTTCCCTCCCAAGCTGCCTGCTTCCGCCACCACCTTCGCCACTTCGGCGAAGGGTCGCCTCACGCTTCCTCTAACTCAGGCCAGCGATGGCGTCATCCTTCCAAGCATGTTGCAGAATCTCCCTTCCTCCAGCGCTGCTGCCTGGACCTGGTACCATCCTTTCTCACCTGGATCCCTGCACCAGGAGTCCTGCTCCCCTCTTCTGCTCTCCCCGATGTCCTCCAGAGCACCAGACGGCCCACATCACATGCCCACATCACATGCCTTTGTGGCCCAGAACCTTCCCGCCTCACCCAGAGAGGAAGCCAGAATCCTTCTCAACACTATCAAGTTGTTTGAACAGTTCATAAAAAATCAAACTTGACAACTTAAAAATTTCCCTCATTGTGTTAATTGTTTTCCACTTATTTTAAAATTAACTTTTGGCCATTTATGTTTTTTTGAGACAACTGCTCTTTTTGTCAAGAATGTTCCAGCTTAGTATAGCCCACAGTTGTATATAATATTTTCTTGCATATAATATTTTAAATCTCCTCACATCTTTACATTTAAATTAGTTTATTTTACTTTGTCTTTTTCTCCTTATTAGATTTGCCAGCAGTTGGTACCTCTTGTTTAAAAACAAACTTTGATTTTCTTTTATCGATTCTGCAGCATTTTCCCTTTCCTAGTTTTATAATTTTTGTTTTTATCTTCTTATTTCTTTTCCCCGATTTACGGAGACTGTTACTCTTTAAATTTTTGAGTCAGTTTATTGCTTAGGTCATTTCTAGTCTTTTCCTTTTAAAAAAAATAAAACACTTTTGTTTCACTTTTGGCTGATTTCCACAAATTCACATGAAGTTTTACATCAAATTTACATTAGATTACTAGTAAATTATAATTTTGAACTGAGTCATTTAATAGAAAGGTAAATTATTTTTTAAAACTTTGCCATTAATTTTTCATTTCACTGTACTGTACAAAGAATAAGTCCTGTGAAATTTCTGCTTTGGGGAATATGTTGAGATTTCCCTTTTGTGCTTGGTATATGACAAATTTTAAAATATTCCATGACATTTAAAAAGATATTCTTTTTCAATAAAGATGGATTTTTATCTCACAAATTATGCCAGAATAAAGTCTAGGTGGGCCAAAATTTAAATGTAAAAAGTTAAACCATGAAAGTTCTAGAAGATGATAGATGATCAATTTACAATTCATGAAGCTGTACGTTTAGTTTTTTT